TTATTCTATAAAAATGGTGTCAAATATACCTGTTTTTCAAGCAGCATCCCAAATACCATAGCGTATAGTCGACTTAAAATAGTTGCCTTACAAAATACAAATGATATAAATTGTATTTTATTAAGCTGCAATGGTACGGTGGTGGTCGCGATTACTACAGTGCCTAGAAATGAGTTGTCTGTGCCGACCCAAAACTGTGTCATCACTGGCGACATGTGCCATAGCATAACGGGTACAGTGACCAACTGATAGCCCAGTACATAGATGGTCATCCTACCACGTATGATTGCTTCCATATCCGGGCCGTATGTCTCATCAAATGTATATTTTGTACGAGCTATATATGGTATGAGCACATCGTGTCGATAATCAGCGTGGTGTAAATCGGACCCATTCTCTCCAATTGCCTATATTGTTAAAAGCAATTGTTATAGCAATTAATATAAAGTTATTTATAATTGTAAAGTTATATAAAATGATAATTGTAAATATCAGTATACTTTTAAAATATTATATACATTTTCAAAATGTTTTTTACATTTTGTTATAATTTTTATAGAAAAATTACAAATACTTATCTTAAAGCTATATTTTTGTAAATATTTAGTTTAAATATGATTTATAACAATCATAATGAAATTGAAATGTAAACACTAAATAATGTATAATTAAAACCAAGTTTACATTATAATAAGTGTATATAATTCTTGGATGAATCCTTGCGAGCGATAGTTTTTGATTGCTTTTTTCAAAAAAGTCTTTCGGGTAGTGATCCGGGTCTTTGTCCTCCGAGTGGTGCCAAACATATATTAAATCATTTTTTTCTATTGTCTGCCATTTTTTTACAACAGCTTTTACGGCCTTTAGCTCAGAATCTATTAAAAGTTTATATATAATTAATTAAATATAAAGTTTATATTAAAGCTAAAACTAATTAAAAACTTTAGTTATACAGTATTTGAGTGTTAAAGTAAACCACTGGCTTTCCAGCAATATATTATTTATTAGATACTGCATTGACATACACTATAACATCAGCAAATAACGGTTTTTTGTTAAATTTTGAAAATCTTAGTATTTATACATTTTTACATTGTACTTAGTAACTAATTGTTTATTTTTAATTATTTTATTGCTTTTAATAATTGATTGAAATAAGAGCCATTCACACTAGAAATTAGTTTAAGTTGTTTAATGTAATTAAGACGAGTATTGGATAACATTTGTGGAGTAATTAAATTCATTCATTACAATTATTTACTATAAAAACATAACACAAACATTTTGAAAGTTAGCATTAAACTAGTAATGATTTACAATATTTAATTAATTTAATATAAATTAAAATAGTGCTGTTTCCTTATACATGACAGGATAAATAAAAAAATTATTATCACAAATAAAAGAAATTGTTACACACGTGTAAAGGCCTTTTAAATCTTAAGAATATAACATTGAGTTTATACATTGTATCTATTTAATGTAAATGTTAATTAAATTATTAAAATTAATTACGTGTTATTTATAACTAATTAAGTTAAAAATATTAGTGATTTTACAACATTGAAAACTAACCCTAAAGCCCTATTGTTATCTAGGCAAATCATGAAGTATAGTGTAATATGCACAAATTGTGTATAAAAAGCATCATTTTGGTTGTTCTAATTGTACTTGACAGGATAAATAAACAATTATTATCATGAATAAAAAGAATTGTTAGGCACTTGTGCAGGCCACTTAAATGTTAAGAATATAACATTGAGTTTATATCTATTTAATGTATATATTAATTAAAGTTTTAATATGAATTGTGTAATTAAATATAAGCAATAGTTTAAACATACGGTTAAGATTAGGTATGCGTTTGCACTGTCCGTCTCCGCCGAACCTCCAGCCATGGA